GGGACGCGGTGCCGCCTCACGGCTCCAGCCCGACGCCGTTGCCAAGGAGACGGGCATGGCGGCCATGGCGGCCACTGAGGCGGGCGGGGATCCGGCTGAGGCCCCCGAGCCCCCGGTGTCCCCCAGCTCCCCAGGTGAGTGCCCGGGGCTGCCGAGGGTCGCAGCCRCCGCCGGGCGTGGTGGCGAGAGGCCGGCGGGGCTCGGGGCACCGCCTYCCCGGCGCTGCGGCGGGGTTGGGGCAGGGCCGGCGGGATGTGAGGGCTGAGCGCAGCCTTTTAGGACATGGACACGCTGGGCATCGCCCCCCTCACGGCCCACACCTCTCTCCGCGGCCATTTACCTCAGTGTGGGTGTCTGCACAGCCAGACCAGCGTGTCCTTGGCAGGGAACACCGTTTGGGTCATCACCAGCTCTCCAGCATCTTCCCCTTCCAGCAGTTTCCCGTCTCCTCTACAGGCCGCCCGTTCCTCTGWGTCGCAGCCAAAAGAAAATCAACCAACACCGCATTTATCCCTTACCTGGCTTCCCCAGGGCCCTCGGCCAGAGCAGTTGCTCACCCTGTTCCTTGCTCCTGGGCRCAGCAGCACCTCATTCCCAACTCCACAGCACTCCAGGGGCTTTCCGGGAGCCCAGCTCTGCCCCTGGCTTGGGGAGCCACTTCCCCTGAGCCCCTGTTCCCGCAGAGGTTTCTCACAAACCCGATTGCCAGGTGCTGGCTGGCCCCGAGGGCTGCCTGCCTCTGGCAATTTGGGCTCGATTACACCCCAGTTTGGATGGACWCAGAGGTGACTGGAAGTTGCAAGCTGAAGACAAAAGGATGCACGTCTTTTGATCCGACCCAGTCATAACCTTGGGAATGCCTTTACAGTGCTCAGGACTGAGCCCTGTTTCCCTAAGGGCTGGGTCTGGGCTAAGATCTCAACACGGTATTGAAACCTGCTCAGTTCAGCCCTAAGTGCCTGTCACTCTGTGGTCAGCTGTGCCCCAGCCCAAGGCAAAGCATTACTGGAGAGTTAACATCGAAAAAAAACACAGCATTATAGGCAATTCATGATATTGGAATTCAGTTTTAGGAAGATTTTGCTACATCACTCCTATTAAACATTAGTCACAGCCAAAAATCCAGYGCAATTATTCATATAAAGCTGTAAATATAGCATGGCACTGTTACCATATTGGTTCCTTTTATACTGACATATAGGGCTTATGCTTATCTCCATGCCCAGTATGCAAAGGGTTTAAATTTAGAAAGAGCTAAGCTATTTTTTTCTCTCTAAAGATAAAACACATGAAAATTTTGTTTACTGGTTTGTGAATAGTGATAATTAAAGGGATGTTTTCAGCTTGAAATGTTGGAACTGAAAAATGTTAACAAACTTTTAGGAAGGAGTCACAAGAGCTTTCAGCAGCAGTCAGACATCAGGCTTTGACTGGGAGACAGGGAGTGGGATCACTGGCCACCAGACCTTCCCTCTCTTATCAATCWACCTCCATCACAGCTTGGAAAGCTTTGTGTGAAAACAGGAACCTGACTGAAATGATTTTCTTAATGCCAGGTGTACTGAGAAAAAGGATTAATCTGGATTTGAAATGAGTTCATGCTCTCAATCAAAACAATGATACAAGCTGGCAGAATGAAGGTAGCGAGTCTGTTGATGTTTGTCAACAGATAAAATTGTTGCTAAGCAAATGTTACAAGCTTGGGATTTGTGATTATAGCTTCATGAAGCCCTCCCCAGAGCATTACTGTCKAAAAGCCACACTAACAATCCCTCATTTTCCATTAAACCATCTGCTACAGGTGAAGTGATAAAAATTCTATYAAATATGTAGGGGTGTTAGTATTCACTTAATAAGAATTGGCAAGATGCTGTRGTTATATTTTCATTTTGGAAGCCTTTTTCACTTGCTTATAACTTTATCTGACTCTGGGTAGAGTTTTCTATCCCACCTGTCTTACTTTGATTCTGCTACTTTATAAACTTCTAATAARACTTGATCAGGTCACTTTCAAGAAATGCCTCAAAGAAACATTAACTGTRACAGTTGAAATGTTATGGTTCTTTTTATGTGAGTTGTTGGTTCTTAATGCTTTGAAGCAAAGACTTTAAACTGGGTAAGGTCTCGCTGGTGGCTGAATTGTGATAACACACTTTACTATTGTGAAGAAAAAAATCATTTATGTTTATGGAAATAATTTTGTTACTGTGTGTGAAATATTAAAAGGACATTGTGGTAAACATCTCAAAAGCACCAGAAAAAAATCTGATCAGGACTAAAATTGTACTCAACTGTGCTTTCACTGTGAGYGAAAATGAAAGTGTGCAGTAAATATAAGGTGTGCCATCAATCTCATGTCCTGCATGGAGCAGAGGTTATAGGGAGCAAATAGGGAATTTCTAGGATAATCCATGAAATAAATACAAATCCATATGCATTGAATATTATATCCAYTTGTGCCTTCATCAAATATTAGTTACTAACAGGTTTTTACCAGATGCAGTTCTGCTCATGCTCTGTGGCATGTTCTTCTGTTTCCAAGAAGAATGTAATTTCTTCAGTGTTTGCAACTTCAGGGGGAGAAAGAAGCAAAAAAGGGCAAGTGTTGGTCCTAAACGAGTTTCTGAAAAAAATGCTGTGCAAAATCGAGGTGCAAATAATAAGTAACAGTGGGAAGAAAGTTTTTGGAAGTAAGCCCAACTTCCTTACTGCTGCAGGATGGTGGGAAATGGAACAAGAGTATCAGAGAACATTTAAGTTTGTCAGCTCCATCGAAGTATCTTTAAAAACCATTTCTTTGATGTATTTCAGTGGTGTAAGTACYGTAAGAGCCTCCTCTGCAGTACCTYCCTGCTGCTGCTCCTCACAGTCCCTGCAGAGTTTACATCACAACTTTTCCCTGTACTCAGAAGCCAGAAAAAAAWTCCTGTGTTGAGCATTTGCTCCGAAATTGCTTCCTAAGGTTTCAGGCTCTAAAAGCCAGGCTCTGTGGGGRCTCTAGTGTTCTCTTCTAGCAGGGCATTACTCTCAAGTAGCCTTWTTTCTCAGCTCTAAGCTTTAGGACYACWGGGTTGCTAAAGGTGTAACTCCTGTAAGCCGGATAAAAATCTCTGCATTTATTCCCTTTCACTGGACAAAATGCCACATGAAGCACAACATGGTAGGGATAAGAATGAACAAACCAGAGGTGACAGATTTAAATTATTGCTACTTAAAGATTTAATTGTTTGATTTGAGAATATATTTTGTATATGATCAGAATGAAGGTTGTGTAAGACCTAAACAGAAAGAAATTTAGCATTTACATCATGTTTCAGTGGAGAATCTCTGAGAGCAGCTGACCTATTCACACCAGATTTCATTGCAAAGAGRAAGTCTTTGCTTTTCAGTACACACTCAAACACTTCTGCACAGGAGCAGCTTTTAATATTAACACCTTCACCCAGCATGGGTGGATGCACAGGGAGGGAGCTGAGGGCCTTGTCTAGCAAGGAAAACAAGAGGGACAGTTCTCAGAAATCTGTCAACAGTAAACTTGGCCCTATCTCTCTTGCTCCAAAACTTGGCCGTACTCAGAACTTCGCAAGAAATGAAAGGCAATAGCTGCAGAAGCTACAACTGGCATGTACATGTGGTGCAAAAATTATCTCTCTATCCATTTCCAACATGAGTCACCTTCAGTCATTTTTTTCTACTTTTCCTGCAGTTTTCTCTCAGGCTGTCTTTCCAGAATGGGAGATCTTGCCTCAAAAAGTCTGTTGGAATTATGCATCCTTCTGCATCTCTCCAATCTAATCTTCTCATGAACAATCAAAAAGCACCCAGCAGTAGCCAAGGAGGTGTTGAGTGGTCCCTTTTACAGACTACATTGCAAATATATAAAAACCATCCAGAAGTGAGGCAAGTGCAAAGTCCTGCACTGCATTTTTTTAAGAAGCATGTGACAGGTGACCTGGAAGAATCTTTTCCCAAACCAGTGCCCTGCTATCTGCATTTTTTTCCCCCAAGTTTTTTTTTACAGAGAAATTCAGCTTACTCTTTTATGTACATGGCCTGGCAGGAAGTTCATGCATCAGCTACGAAAAAGGAAAAAGGAACGTGCTCAGGCACTGATAAGGTGGTGTTAGTATCAATTTTAGTATCAATTTTATGTTTCAGCAAGTGCAGAGGACACAGTATCTTGTGATCTTTTTTTCCCTTTTAAAGTGACAGTTGAACAGCCTCCCCTTAGGCTTCTAACTAATCATAGATTATAACAGTTCCTTGAATGGAAAGCAGTTATCCTACAGCTTCTTAACTTAATTTTCTCCTTSAATGAGACCTGTTCAGAACAGTTAGATGACTAGAATGAAAAATTTTGCAAGGTGCTACTCGGTTTTATGTAGTTCCTATATATGCTGTATATAATAGAAGATAAATTAATTCAAAGCCTAGTGTTCTGTCAAGATAAAATGGATATTTTCATGCCRTGAACATGGTCTGATTCCTGGTTTTACTGGCATGCAATTATAATCCCATCTCTGAGATTACATGTTCTCTTCTCTCCCCATGCAGAAAGAGCTTCCTTGAAAGAAGATGTTCTTCCCTATCGTGGGATGTTTCCAGTRGATAAAAGACTTCTAACCTTACAGATCTACAAACTTCTTCAGTGTGTTCATGAGAAAGACAAGAAGCAAATAGAAAATCTGCTGCAGAAAGGATTCCCAGGTCTCATTAATTACACAGAGCCTAAGGAAGGATATAGTGCCTTTCACTTGGCCTCCATGAAAAATGACGTTGAGATGTGCCGCTTCCTGCTGGAACATGGTGCTCATCCAAATGTCCATGACAATATGGGACGCACTCCAGCCATGAARGCAGCTGAGCTAGGCCATGAGTTGATTTTGGAGTTATTAGCAAAAGCTAATGCAGACATGACTGCTGTGGATAATGAAGGGAAAGGTGAGTGAGAAGGGACCTTATCAGACTGGAAACACCATAAAACAATCCCTTAACTGTGTTACACACTACATATCATGTGTCCGATCTGTGGAGAGGAACTGTAGTTGAGAGTTATCCTCACAGCCAACAGAAGCTGTTGGCCTTAACAGCTTTGGTGAAAATGAAAATATTTCTCTCTGAAGATTCTAGGACTTTAAATCACAGGTCTCTCCAGTACAGAGCTGAGAAGTAACTTACGATTGAAAATCACATTCCTCCAACGACTTGTGTCATACTAAACTCTGGCTTACTCCCCAAGCAAAGACTCTAAAGTAGAAGTCTTTTCTGCATRGATAATACCCTAAGTGAAGGGATCTCTGTTGCAAACTGTTCAGCTGTGAAGCTCACAGCCTCATCACCCTTCTAGTAATTTCCTATTACATTCTAATCCCCACTGGTTTCCTTTGCAGGTATTTTGTTTTACTGCCTTTTACCTACAGCACGACACTCCCACTGTCTACAGCTTGCCCTGGAATATGGTGCAGATGTCAACAACTGTACTACCAGTGGGAGGTCTTTGCTTCTATATGCCTGTGAGCAAGCTCATGAGGTTAAAGAATATTGCCTGCTTTTCTTGGAGAGAGGAGCAGATCCCAATGCAAGAGACCCGGTATGAGCATTTCTGTAACCAAGAACAGATACAGGAGTATGGCATAAATACCATATGACCAGATTACATGACCTTAAATCCTCACATCAAAATAATTAAGGAGTGAAAATTGCTTCTCTCTGTGGTCATACCCATTCCCCTCTTCTCTACCACCCTTTTTTGGAGGAAAGGGATTTAAGTCTTCTTTTAGATTTTTGTGCATTTAGAGTGCAGATAKTTCCCAAAACCTAAATGTAACAGCCAGCTCTTAGGAGCTACACTTCACTGTACTCTATTGGAGCAATGCTGCTTGTATTTGTCTTGCTGTGTCCTTAGATTTTCAGAGCTGAAATAATATTCAGTAAAAGGTGATTCTATCAGAAAAAAAAAAACAAACTGATGAACAATCAAGACAGAAATGAGGCATAAGAAACTTTTTTCTCTTTTGTGTTTCTTAAACACCTGAAAGACTGAAGCTCTGTGCTGTTGATAAATCAAGAAGCTCAAGCTTTCCCTTAAAGTTATCCAAAGCAAACATCCATTATTACCTAGAAAAGGACAGCATTAATGTATTARAATGGGAACTTTTCCTCACAGAACACTAGTGAAATTCTGTGGTTCTTCAACTTCCCCATAGCACTCCTCCAGCCATAGCTTCTTATGCTCCTTATTTCATAAGCTGAGGTGGTATTTTGTGTTAAATGTTGTGGATATGCATGCAAATATGCCCACAGAATAAAGGATTCCTTAACAAATGAATTTTTTTTTCATGTGCACTATTCATGACTCAGGCTTTCAATGTGTTTGAGCTGCTGACTACTCTTATCTTAGCAGCACTATGATTAGATTCTGAAAGTTTACCTGCAAGTATCTTTGAAAGTATTACACTTGTCTCCTTTTCCCAGTAATAGSTAAAAAGAGACTTCCAGTTTTATGCCAGCTTGCAACAGTCACATCCTACTRTTCCACCGTTAGCACACGGAACAAATTCTTAGCTTTTCTCTTGCTCCCCTGCAGGCCACGTGGCGAACAGCCGTGATGGAAGCTACAAGGAAAGGTGCTACCGAGGTGGTGCGTGCTTTGCTTCAGAAGGGAGCCGATGTGAACCTGTTTGACTTTGACAGACACAGTGCTGCACATTTTGCAGCCAGAGGAGGCTTTTTTGAGGTATCAAAAATATTTGTGGTGTTAAAGCATTGCTGCAAAGYTAAATCTGGGTGGTGGTGGTTTTTTGGCTTTTACCGGGTTTTGTCTTGTGTTTTTGGAGTGTATTTTAGTTGGGATTCTTTTTGAGTCCATTATCTCAGGTGATCAAAGCAYAATGATTAGTAATCAAAAGCAGATTCTTTTTAAGTATCCAAGGAAATCCAGCAGTGATAGATAGGCTAGACAGGGGCTTACAGTGAGCTGGCAAGAATGAARATTGTCCTTGGTGGCTAAAACGGTGCAAGGTTTCGGTTTCATCAGTTAAGTAAGTATAATACTATAGAAAACATGACTGTTATATGCCTTGACCAGCTGGACCTGGGAGAGTACTTCATTATTAAAATGGGAATGTAAGATATTGCATTTATTTTTAAATCAGTCTCACATTTTTGCATGTTAAGAAACAGACAARATTTTTGGTGTCACTCTGTTTGTTTTTTCTAGATTCTGACGATTCTTTCAGGTTATAATGCAGACTTGAATCTGATTGCTATGAATGGTAACATGCCACTTCATTATGCTGCAGATGGGGGATTTGCAGATTGCTGCAGGTACATAGGACAAAGAGGTACATTAAAACTAAGTTACTTTGTAGCTATCATCTATATTCTATTTCTGTGCTAAAAGAAAGGTTTCATTGTGTTATCTCTGAAGGATTTGACTTTTGGGTATCATGTGGCAAAATTCTCATTCAGAAGGGCCTAACAGGGGCTCTAATCTCATGTGGGTGAGAAAACATTTCTCAAAGAAAGCAGAACCATTAGGAGTTTATATAAGGTAGTGTTGGACAGTATTAAATGTTTCTGGGTTTAATTACATTTTTAGATGTATCGAAACTTAATATACAAAATAAATTTTTGGTTTGATGATAATTTAAAAAAAAATCTCTGTGTAGTCATGAGGAAAACTTCATGCCCATGGGTATTGAAACATGCCCTGAAGCAGCTGTGATCTTTTCCTAACTTAATCAGAAGCGCTTCAAGCTTTAATTCAAGAGGGCCATGCAAAATCCCACATTCTCTTCTTATAATCCAACATTTAACTAGTGATCCCTTGCCAAATGGTAATGTTGGGGTATAGAACTAAAGGACATTTTAATCTTAGTTTTCTTCTTCTTAACCTTGCTCACTAACTTAAATAAAAATGTAAAGTTTCCACTCAACTTATGCCTTTCTATACATATTCATGAGTGGATGAATAAATAGAGMATGGATTGCCCAACGCTTTTCCTGTTGGGAAACAAATATAGACATGTGGCTGACCTGGCAGCCTAGAATCATTGATGTGGTTCCACCTACCATCACTATTTATAGTTGAAATGGTATAAAACTGTAGGCCTGTGGCAGTGAGTTGCTGGTGTATTACAAGTTTCTTATATTACATCATTAGGAATTCCACTGCACTATCAGCCAAATTATGTCCCTTTTTCTAGGCTGTGATCCTACATGGCCAAATTTGTTACATATGATCCCAAGGGAAATTGCCAAACTCGGAGAGTTTAAAGCAGCAGCAAAAGTATTGCGTAAACTTGAAAAAGCCTATAAAAATCGAGATAAGAACCTTACCTGGCTCCTGAAGGTGTATGACTGGTCCTTGGAGCACCAGGAGGAGATGCGCAAGGAATTTGAAATTGAGGAAGGAGGAGATGGGATGGTGTCCAAAAATGATTTTATGGCAGTTATTCAGAAGTACTGGAGCACTGCGAGCCMGGAGCAAATAGAAACCCTTGCTAATAAGCATGAAGGATCTCACCCTGACAGGATCAGCCTTGATGATTTTTTTAAAGGCTCAAAGTACGTGCCAAAAGCCTTTCTGCTGTCATCCTATGGGCCCAAAGGAAAGAAGAAAGGGGGGAAGAAAAAAGGCAAAAAAGGAAAAAAAGGAAAAAAAGGCAAAAAGGGCAAAAAAGGCCTCCCTGTGCCGATCTGCATAATTCCAAAGAGTGACTGTGAACTTAGGGAAGATGGCTTCCCTACCTACATGGTTGAGGCTGTTCCAAACATTCCTGAAAAGCAGCGTTTCAAACAGGAGCACCAATCAGCCCATCCCGTGCTCGATGACCGTGCCTGGTATGTCGATGAGCCAAGGAAAACCTACATTGATATCAACTACCTTGTCAGAGCAGGAGACTTTGTGTCTCTGCAGAAAGCATTCGACGAGGATGTGCCAGTAGACATAAAAGATAAATACTTCAAAACACCTTTAATGATTGCATGTGCAAGTGGCAACATAGTTCTTGTGGAGTTTCTTCTGGAAAAGGGGTAAGATAATTTCAATTTAATGCTATTTTGGGAAGGCTTTCAAAAGCATAGATTTCCAGTAAATATCTATATGCAAGATGCTATGGTTTGTTTTTTACTTACATAACGTTTAATATTAAAGTTAGTTCCCTAAGATCCTGAGTCACAGGGGGTTACTTTATTATTTTTCACATTTTAGTAGCAGGGAATTGAAAACAACCAAGAGGCAAATTCCCCAGACCTGAAAATTTTGTTGTCTGGACTGCTGCCATTTGTTTCAGCTGCAGAGTTCATACCCATGCCTCAAGTAGTGCATCCTCACAACCGAACTCTCAAAACTGGTGAATGGTTTTGGAGAAATCTGACTCAAGAGACTTGCCTGAAATTATCATGGTGATCCTGAATTTCTGTGTTCCACATGCCTGGTTTAAACCTTTACTTTCCTCTGCAGCTGAGGCAGGCTGAAGCAGCAGGATTTACATCAGAAGTCCCTGTTACTAATTAGTCTGTTCTTCATTTCAGAAGTGCTTCAGCAACTTTATAGCCTGCAGACACACTTGTGAAAAATCTCAATGACAGCTTAAAAATGAAAGCAATTTCAGAAAGATTCAGTCATACTTGTGTAATAGCATAATCTCTTATTGTCAGACTGCCATGGTCCTACAATCCTTCACATAAATGCTTAAATGAACATTTTTCAAAGATATTTACATTAACTTTGTTCTCTCTAGCCATAGATAGAATTCACATTATCATCTCAGGGTAAGTGGCTGTAGTCATTGCTCTGGTTCCTGCAAAGACTAACAGCATATGGATCCTTACACATCCTGGTAATCACACTGGCACTCCTAGGCTATATGGAAAAATATGTAACATATATATTCAGATTTTCCAAAGATAAAGATGTAAGAGATACCAAATTAATCCACCAAGTTCATCTCCGCTGCTTTTACCAAGCCTCCATAGACAGTGCTGAGGTCATATTTAGCAGTTAGACCAAGAAACATAGTAACTTAGCTTAGAAAAATAGTACCAGTTTTGAGATTTTTTCAATTGACAGAAATGAAAATGGAGAGGAAAGTTATCAGTAGCATTTAAGATTGCATCTCTGAGCAGCATGGGCTTGCAGTTTGGCATGGGCATTCAAATATCTTTTACAATATAACCTTTTCAGTACAGAACCACAAATCCATATTGAATTGGAAACAAAACATTTATCCAGATAAATGTTTAACATCTATTAGGTTTAAAATTAAATTGGTGGTATCTACTTTCTRTCTTCCTCCAGAAAGAATCAGAAGTAAATGAAATTTGGTCTGATGGGAAATTCTGTGCTTGATGGGCAGAAAATGCCAAGGAATCTTTAAATCAGTGCTGTGTTGTCCCTGTTCCCATTGACTGGTTTGTTTCTGATAGAATAAAGTTAGGGGAAAGGATTCAGAGGCAGACAGAGTCTGAGCACAGGCAAGGAGTTTGAGAGAGAAAGTGAAATAACTGAAGGAGCTTATTTTAATGAGAATTAAAACACAAATGAAAACTGCATATGAATAAACCATAATGGCTTAGCAATTGAAAGATAACAGAAATAAAAGTAGTAGGTCAGGGGAATTKACTGGGCTAAGATCTCATCAAAGGTAGAATTCCAAGAAAGATTAACAATTTAAACAAGGAAAGAAGAACAGATGAATCTGTATTTTTATCTGGACTTAATCATCTGACCTGAAGAGAAAACAGATATCCTTGGAAGCAGCTTCCTTCATAATTTTTCTTCTTTCTTCCTTCCTCCTTGTCTTTTGGGAAGACAGCAGCTTTTTGTCCACAGAGTAAGTGGGATAGTGACCCTAACTTACTTCAGGACCTCTWGGGCTGATAATGCCATTCCTCTCAGGTTCATCCTGAGGCAGCATATTGTAAATATCTCCCCCAAATTAGCCCTTGCTTTCTCCAGAACATCCCAGTTTTAATTTGGGAGCAGAAACAGATCCTAGTCCAGCAACACAGTAACTGAATCAATTTATCAGTGCTCAGATTTTCAAGGCAAACCTTCTGGAACTCTTTTGTTGAAAAGCCAACTCAGAGAAATGAAGGAGCAGAGGACAACAACACTGAAAGGAAGGGTGAACATCTTTCCTCTTGTGCAGGCAAGCTCTGCAATGTTGCCACATCTATTCTTGGCTCAGAATACACTTTTTCAATTCCTTAATCTGCTTTCTGTCATTCTCACTGAAAACAGAGCACAAACACTAGCAGTGTTTCACAGGACTTAAGGTGTTTGAATGCCTGGGTTTTTTCCTGTACCCATGAAAAGCTCAGTGTAAAGGACACTGATAGCTTAGGGGGACAAATGAGCAGCTCCTGGGCACACTCTTACAATTATTATTCCATGACAAGTTCAGAGACTCAGATGGTTTCTAAGTAGTAGTAGTAGCAAAATGAAAATAGCTATTTACATTGAATATGCCAGCAGGCAGTTCCAGCTGATTGTTCTTGGAGCTGTAGATATTCAAAAGCTTCAGCTGCCACAACCACTCTTACTCCTGTGCAGGGCTGATGTAAATGCAACAGACAATTTCCTGTGGACTCCTCTGCATCATGCTTGCTATAACGGACACCTGGATATCGCAGAGATGCTTGTGAAGGCTGGAGCAGCAGTGGATGCCCCTGCAATAGGCAATGCCACCCCACTGATGAGAGCTGTCGAGGCCTGCAGACTGGACATAGTCTATTTTCTGATGACTGCGGGTGCCAACATCCAAGCTGTAAACAGCAATGGTAAATAGCAATGTCTCCAAAATAGGCTGTTTCTTTATTAAAAACACCTGCATTTAGGATTGCTATCAGGATTAGGATGATGGTAACAGGTTCAGTTAGTATTCTACAGTGGAATCATTGCAAATAGTTAGCTTTCCTAGGTTTACGAATCTAGAAAATGAAGTAACATCATTAATCCCACGATTAAGGAGACTGTTCTTTGTCACAAGATACATACAGAGTTATAAGTGGCTTTAATGAAAACATTCGATCTAGTTGTTATTATTATTATTTGAGGGAAAATTAGATTTCAGTTGTGGCCCAGAGTATAGTCTGCCATCCATTTAAGTGATTCATTTTTATGCACAGGCAGGCCTGATTTAAAAACTTCTTTGCTGCTCTACATGTACACATAACTCCTGATAAAAAACATACTTAACAGAAAACCAAATCTGAACCAGTACTGAAGTCTTAGCTCCTCACAGYAGATCACTCATTCAGTGTTATTTTCCCTCTCTCCAGAGTAATTTAAACAGTTAACATGCACCACCTTTTAAGCTCTTGCTCTAACGCAGGAAGCAACACTGCTATACAATGAAACTTCCTTTGACAAAATGCAAGTGAAACCCTGCTTGTAGAAGGGATGTGTGTTCCTTACTKCTGTTACCATGTGAGTTCTGATTCACACAGCAGTTCAGTCTCACAAATACTTTACAGCCAGAGAGTCTCATAAGAAGCAGGGCAGGGCTTTTTCCTTTATTAAGCACTGAAGCCACCACGGGACTTTCCCTTGCCAGCCACAGAGCAAGGACAGGAAGAAGGAGATGGCTAGCACAATACAAGGTYAGGACTGCAGTCCAAGTAGCTGTCTCCTAGTGCTAAATGCTCTCAGCTCTTAGAGATCAAAATGACAACCYGCAGGACCAGTATATTAAGCTGCAATTGTCAGGACTTCAAGAACGAAGCAACCACTCCAAGAACTCCTGCAATGTTGGGTTTCAAGGCTCGTTTCTGCCAGGTCTTATTTCTGCAAGCATTGCTGATGATTGCTGGTCCTCACACCAATGCCAGGCATGCTGCTGGCTCATGGGATGGTTCATTAAATAGTGGCTAAATTAAATTCAGTTGATTGTACTGTCATTATCCAGTTGCAATAAACCTGTGCTGAAGTTAATTTTCATGGTTTACATAGATATTAATTTTTTTAAATATAGGAAAGAATGCTCTTGATCTCGCTCGAGTATTTGAAGATGCTAAAATAATTAATCTGCTTGAAACGGAAATGAAAATTTTGGCAGAAGAACAAGAACAAGAAGAAGCAAAGCAACCAAAAGGGAAGCCAAAACCAGCAGAGCCACAGAAACCTGTGATAAAAGAGGTATGAGGGATAGTAACAAAGGATTGGTTTGCTAACAGTTAGCAGGGAGCTTCTTTCTTTCCTTTCTTTGCCACCTATTTCTCTAAAATGCTGTACCTTGAGTAGCTTTGTTAAAGTGAGTATTTTCAGATGCCAGTACTTGCTCTTGTCAGTACTAGAACTTGTTTCTTGGTTGAAATTCACCTAGCTAATTAGACAAACTTCATGTCTTCCCCAGACATACAGCAGAATGATGTCCTGTATCACTGACAGGACACAGAAAAATAMTTCCTTTTCCCCTCCTCCTGAATCTCATCCAGCTCTGTTGTGGGAAATACTAAACAACTGGTAACCATAATTTCTTGAAGGGAGCACCTCTTTCTTCACAAGAACAATACCTTTCAAACTGATCTTTTTATTCTCCTAGTTGAACTCACTGAGAGAATACTAGGCTTGCTGACTTCCTATTTTCTATCTTGTCCCATATCCTTCCTATTCCACTGCTTACCTGAGTCCTGTTTCTCAAATCCCACACTGATATTTATCTGCTTTATTTCTGAATGCTTTTCCTGCATCCTCTGGGAGCCTTGAGCACCTTGGCATTGCCTTATTCCCAAGCTGGCATCAGCCTTTGACCATATCCTGGTTCTCTTATTGTGGATGAGACCTTTCTGATTCATCAGTAGTACTCATTAGTCAGATCCAGGATGCTATTTAGGGAGAAAATGCAATTGTATCTGCATGCCTGGAAGTGTCCTTCAGCTGTCCCACCCTGGACACTGCAATAAATACATCCCAGTAGCWAAATGTTGGCTTCCCCCTTTCAAAAACATTTTTAATGTCAGGGACCGCACAGGAGTTTCAGAGGCAGGAGGACGACAATGTTAGGTACTTGTTTATTCTTYACGTGGCAGAGGATGGGATCATCACTGGTATGGAGCAACTGTCTTGGGAGTAATAGAAAGCAGTTAATGTTTTAGTGCCCAAGGAAGAGAGGTGCCCTTTTCCTTTCAAAAGGTTAGCCCTTGCAATTTTTGATTTTAAAAGATCAGCTTTAAGAAAAGCAGATTCTGATGGGATTAAGAAAAACACCCCCCCCCCCCAGTAAACTTTGTAGCAGAGCATCAGAAGATGCAGGATGCATATGCCTTGCTTCTGAACACGATGTTTTGGTATAAATGGTGCCTTCTTTGCCTTCAGGCTCCAGAGGAACCTCAGCCAGCTGAGGAAGAACCTGTTCCTGAAACAACAAAGCGCCCCCGTAAGGACAGTAGTGCTTACTGGAAATCTTTGAGAGGCAAGAAAGACAAAAATGACATCTCCTTCAGACCCAGAAAAGTATGTATAGCAGCAAAACATGAGTGCAGTTTAATGGTAACTKAAAGGTAGACCTTGCTGAGGCCAAAACCCAGAACAATTTGATGAAGTTTCCACCATTCAACTTGTTTAGAGATGATGTGACACAGCCTGGAGAGGTTGCCACAAAACAACAGTAAACTAAAGAGTCCACGGATATATTATATATTTATATATTATATATTTATATATCATATATTTATATATTATATATTTATATATATTTATTATATATTTATATATGATATAAAACAAATTATTGTAGAAATCAAGCTCTTATTAGATTTTAAAATAGGATTAAAGTGGAACCACAGTAAAAGACAAATGCAASTACATTCATTATAGGTATTTTTATAGTCCTTTTTTAAGATAGGAGTCTATTTGCATGGCATGAGCACCAACTTCTGACTTGCCCTCTTGATTAATTATCACATGATGACCTCTATCAGTGACAATTACTGAACTAAATGGATCACAGCACACTAARTATTTGCTTCCTAGAGTTGGAATAATGGAAATATAACTTTTCTGTTAGGGACTTGTTAATGCTTACCTAGAAATAACCAAGAAATAGAACAAGATAATCACAGGCAATTTTTAATATAATTTTCTGCCTTAAAAAGTAAAAGAATATCACTACTGGCTGAGCAGTTGTATTTGGAGTTTGTTTATCATTTCCCTAACCCTGGTGTGTGCTACTGTCTGCAATGGTCTCAGAGGACTGAGGCTACATAGCATTTTCCACTCTGAGGATCGTGGGCCTGAGTCAGTTATTTTAAATAATTACCTTAAGATCTTCTTTCCCACATTATCTGTAATSTGAGTCCATGGCATGATATAAATAGGAAGTCACAAGAGAATGCCCTTTTTGTGCACACAAATTGTGACCTATCTTCTGCTGGGAGGCCACACAACTTGTTTTCTATGTCTCGTGGTGAATAGGAGTGCTAGAACATGGCTCTGTTTGGCAAACAATATCTTCTTAATGCTTCTGTTGCAAAAGTCAAATCCAAATTAACTATAAATACCTTTATTTTGTAGGTATGGAGCCCTGATCCCACAGCAATAGAGCTCGGGAAAAAGCGAGCATTGCTCCTTGAATATGCTGCTCTTCATGGTTACATGGAAGACTTTACAACCCTATTCTACAGAAAATTTGACAAGTAAGCACAGCATYTGGAAGAAGCTATTTCAGCACCTTGAGGAGACAAAGACCTAAAAGGCTACTCCTTTGCAAGGAAGGAATCATGCAGTGCTCTGTAAATATATCTCAGTTACAATAAAAGAAAATAATATCAAGTTTTTCCTCTATAGATTATGTTGCTTACACACGATCTTTTGTTGAGGGCTTAATCTGGGAAAAGGTTTATCCTTGTGATTCTGAGTCTTAGAGCTGGCTCTAAGTATAGTTCATAGAATGGCCACTGTTGTGACACACACATGTCCTTTGTAAGGGTCTGGCTTTATAAGACTTTCTTTACCCCAGTACAAAACTGATTCCTGGAAGATACATTACCCTTCTACTTCAAATATTTAGATATGAAGATAGCATTCAGTAATTACCTAAGACAGCAGTGTTCTGGATTGTCTGYAGAGGCAGCAGAGAGGTCAGAATTTACAGCCAGGACTATCACTGCCTAGTGTACTGCTTTCACCTTCTCCCATTTGCTTGCAAGAATGCACGCGAGCCCTGAAACTGCTTCCACCCCAATGGGCACATATTGCCGTCCTTATGATTTCTAAAGGATAATAATCTCTGTATAATAATCCACAATCCATTTGCCATGTCTCCCACAGACCTTTGTTATCTCTCAAATKAAGGAGGGGCTCAAATAGGGGGTGGTGGTGATCTGGATTGCAGCATTCCAAGCCACTGAGGTCATTAAGTCCAACCTTTGACAGGACACCACTGTGTYAACCAGACCATTGCACCGAGTGCCACATTCAGTCTTTCCTTAAACACCTCCAGGCAMAGTGACTCCWCCACCTCCCTGGGCAGCMCATTCCAGYGTTAACAACCCTCTCCATGAAGGAATGTCTCCTAATGTCCAACCTGAGTATGTATCTCTTCATCCTTCAGATAATTTTTCCTAAGCTTCTCCAATTTGCCAGAGGGGGCTCTTAACYAACACTGTTCTGGGGCATCCTAAATTGATGTCACATTCATTGTTCCCAAATTTTTGCTTGTAGCTTCTTTCTAAGAGATTCTTCTTGCTCCATCACCTCCTGAAGAGCCAATTGAAACAATTGATTAATTTTCTCTTCCCTCTGAATCACTTCTGGTCCAGCAGCTCCCTATGAGCATTCCCRAGAGCTGCAGAGCTTTCACGAAAAAGGACTCATCTGAAGGTTGTCCTGACTTTTCTCCTGGAGAAAAACCTTCCAACAGATCYGGACCACACCACTCACTCCACCACAACCAAAGGATCTTCTCTGTGGTGCCAACTTAACACTATGACACCAGCATCTGAGGATGGGTAACTGAGATTCTTGTCAATGGATCCCTTGGGGTGAATCAGAGTGAAACAACACTGAATGACCAGGTTGTGATTCTTATGTGTCAGCATAAAAAAATTGCRGGCTGCAGATGATTGTAAATAACAAAATCAGTAATGCTTCCGTTAAGTCATATAAGGTAGTGTGGGCAAGGAGCCCATGAATAATTACAAATGAAACTGCATCTCTGAAAGAAGAAAAAGCAAAAGAGCAATTTGCTAAACAGTAGCCATCAAAATAAAATCAAGCAGCAGTCAGAAATTACGCTGTAASGTAAAACTGTTTCTGGCAGCGTGGAGATTACATAGGACAATTGATAGCCTTCACATGTCCAACAAGGCATTTCCTGGCGCTTAGTATAAGGTCCAGCAGCACACCATTCCTTGTGGKATCCTCCACTGCCTGTGTCAGGAAATGATCATCAATTCTTTCCAGGAATCTCCTGGACTGTCTGTCCTTTGTTGTGTTGCTTCTCCAGCAGCTGTCAGGGTAGTTAAAGTCCCTCACAAGAGGGAACAACCAAAGCCTGTGACACTGAGGCTGCTTAGAGCATCCTGCACTGTGGCGTCACAGTGGTGCTAGAATTAGGAGGCCGTGTCCTGTGCTGGACACCCATCTTGGCCCCTAATGGCATGGGGGAATAGGAAAAYCTGCTTGGCCTGGGGGTGGTAGAGCCACCCACAGCTTCCCTCACCATCAGACTACCCTGGGACAGTGTGACACAGAGCAGCACTGTGGGCACACAGCCCCTCAGCCAGGGGCAGCACTTCAGCAAGTGATATCCCAGCTGCCCCTGGACTAGCAGGCCAAGGACAAGGGCACAGCAGGGCATCCTGAGACTGGAGTGAAGCTGGAATGCTGGCACAAGGCTTGGCAGGTCAAGGAATGCCATGTCAGGGGTCCCAGGCTTGGTGAGGCAGAGGCAGACAGGTCAGCATGTTCTCCCCTTCCCTGCCTATCCCATGGGGTTGGGGATAGCAGGCTCAGATGGGACTCTCCTCACAGGGCAGGTGGCAGCTGTCAGCATTGGCTACCACGATGGCCACCTGCACATCWGGGCAGCTCAGGAAGGCCAAGCTGCATGTGGAGAAGGCCATTAAGGTGAGGGGTCTGATTTCACACTGCCCTGAAAAGCCACACTTGTGGCTCCAGAGAGCAGAGGGAGCAAGGTGGGGCAGGCTGAGCTCCCTKCTCTCTCCACAGGAGAAGAAGATCTTCACAGTGCTGGGCCCTTATCCCATCATCCGCCGCCTGCTGCGGGCCCGGGGCTGGGTGGAAAGGAAAGGGCTCCCCAGCAATGGCAGACAGCAGAAACAGCAGCTYGGTGACCAAAAGAAACGGCAGCTGCAGAAGAGAGCAAGTAATGAGCAGGGGGAGGCASTGCTGAACTCACGTGGGGAGGCACAGCCTTCCCTGGGCACCAAAGAGCCYCTGCACCACCCACGGCCCCACAACACAGAGGACAAGGGGGAAGAGGAAGACAGAAAGGAAGACAAAGAGCAGTGCAATGAGGACTCAGATGACATCCATAACTTCATGGTTAGCTAAGAGGGCGAGGGCTGAGCTCTGCCATAGCTCCCCACGCCCTTCCCCTGGGACTCTCAGCTTCAGASCACAGCCTGGGGCAAGGGACTGGGGCAGGATGGGGGCTCCCTGTCTCACCCCTGCCCATTCCCTCCTGCAGTCCTCCCTGGTGGAGGACCTGGTGCCAAACTTCCTCTGGACCCTCCGCCTGGGCGGCATTGACCCGGAACTGCTGCAGAGGATTGAGATGGTGAACCACCATCCCGGGGCACACGCCCTTAACACCAAGGTGGGAGCACAGAGGCCTCAGGGAGGGGGGCACAAGGGGTGAGGTGTCCAGAAGGGACTGGCAAGCTTCTCTTAACAGGAGGGGTTGTGCCAAAGCCTGAAAAACTCATGTTGGTTTGAGCAAGTCGACCTCAACTCCTTTTTCCCCCGGTGCTACCGGCTGGGTATCRTGGAGGAGCAGGAAGCCTTCATCGGTGAGTCTGGGGCTCCTCCTGTCASCCCTTGTGCTGCAGTCTGCCCATGTCCAGTGACTGGCTAGGGATGATGCCTCCCTCTTGCAGAGGATTTCCGCCTGACGGCAGCTCGCAGTCTGCTCAAACTGGCCCTGGAGAAGGTGGAGGACAGGGCAGTGGAGACAGAGCAGTCCCCAAAATCTGAGAAGGGGCCAGGTGAGAGCAAGCAGATGGGTCRGCCGGAGGAGGCGGGGGGCTGAAACAGGGAGTTCAGGGTTAGGGGCGTGTCTGAGGACTGAGCTTGGAAGCTGAGCGTCTGCTCATGGCTGTGGCTTAGGATCCCTTACTCTGCCCTGCCCTGGCTCCCAAGGCACCCATCCCACAGGGAGGCTCCGTGCTTTGGYCCCAAGGCCGGCGTTTCTCTCACCCTATGCCATCCACAGCAGAGCCAGGCTSCCCCCTGTACCCCCAGCTGGTGGAGGACGCCCTGAAGGTCTGTGAGCAGCACTTAGGCGTCCTGGGGCACCAGGACATCGACAGGAAGACCCCGTCGCCCTGCAAGACATGCATCGCCTGGGATCGCTTCCTGCATGAATACTACCGTGTGGCACAGTGGGTGCTGCGCGGGACGGAGGGCGGGGGAGAACAGGGGCAGGGCGGGTGCTGAGCCCCCCGTGTCCCCGACAGTGAGGGAGCCAGGCTGGCGCTGAGCGGGGAGCAGCGGAAGCAGTGCCAGCATCTGCTGGAGCGCCTGGGGGAGCAGCTGCCGCAGCTCGCCATAGAGGGCACCCTCAACGTCTGGATCCTCAAACCCAGCGCCAAATCCCGCGGCAGGGGTAAGGCTGGGGAGGTATGGGGCGCACACATCCCCACGGAGAAAGGATCCCACCATCACTGTGTTGTTGCCCAGGCATCGTCTGCGCGACGCGGCTGGAGAAGGTGCTGGAGCTGGCGCGGAGCTACACGGACCCCTCGGTGGGGCTGTGCGAGTGGGTGGTACAGAAGTACGTGGAGCAGCCGCTCACCATCTTCGACACCAAATTCGACATCCGGCAATGGTTCGTGGTGACCGACTGGAATCCACTGACCGCCTGGTTCTACCGAGACAGCTACCTGCGYTTCTGCTCCCGGCCCTTCTCTCTGCGCAGCCTGGAACCGTGAGTGCCCCCTCCCCTGCCCCCGGCTMGCAATGCCCAGCCCCCGGCGCYCCCTGACCCRGCCMCGCTCTCMYTGCCCCAGTGCCAGGCACCTCTGCAACGTCTCCATCCAGAAGCGGTACAAGGCAGCCCCGCTGGACCCCCGTGTGCCCCCCGACAGGATCTGGTCCCACAAGCAGTTCCAGGCACACTTGGCACGGCTGGGGCGGGCGGATGCTTGGCACCGGGTGCTGGTGCCCGGCATGAAGGCGGCGATCATGGACACCCTGCGCTGCACCCAGCACCAGGTGAGCTCCCGCAAGGGCTGCTTCGAGCTCTTCGGGGCAGACTTTCTCATCGCGGAGGACTGCCAGCCCTGGCTGCTGGAGATCAACTCCTGCCCCACCATGAGCCCCTGCTCGGCGGTGACCCGCCGGCTGTGCGCCAACGTCCAGCGGGACACGCTGCGCCTCGTGCTCGACCGCAAGGACGACCCTACCTGTTCCATCGGTGCCTTYGAGCTCCTCTACAAGGAGGTAGGCTGGGGACAGGGGACAGCCACAGCCCGGGCACCCCGAGCCCCCCACTCCCCCTCTTGTCTCCCTGCAGGCAKCCGTGCCCACACTTCTGCCTGTGAAGCTGAATCTGATGGTCGAAGGCTGTTCCGTGAAGAAGCCCTGGCTTCCAAAGCATCGATCGCAGGACAGAGTCCCCACCACTGTACCCAGTGCTCCCCTGCTCCCAAGGGACAGAGCAATCATGGTCCCCTGGTCCAGAGCAGCACAGGAAACGCTCTTTCCTCTGGGGCCACAGAGCAGCTGCTGCGCACCCAGGTCTGACCCTCCAGCACTGCTGCAGCCCCCCGACCGCTCTGCTGGGAGCCAGGAGCTGCCATGGCTTCTTCACAGGGTTGGGCAGCCCGAGGAAGCTCAGCCTCAGGATGCTCAGCTCCTGATCAGCGGCTGTCCCGTGCATAGAATGCCGGGACCGCCCGCCCGAGGAGCCCCCAGGAGTCCCTGGCGACCCCGAGGCTGCTCTGCTGCAGAGCAGGAGCTGCCWTGGCTCYTTCACCTGGCGSTGAAGGCCGAGGAAGCTCAACCCCAGGCAGCTGTGCCCCCGTGCTCTAGCTATCCTCTGGATCATGGGCCTGTGCCACCGCCCCGCGGAGCTGCCAGGAGTCCCCGGCCACCTCCGCGCTGTTCTGCCGGGAGCCTGGAGCTGCCATGGCTTCTTCACCTGCTTAGACAAGCCGAGGATGCTCAGCTTCAGCAAACTTACATCCAGGAAGCTCAGCCCAAGGCAACTCGGCCCCCCCTCACTAGCCGTCCCCCGGACAGGTTGCCGCCGCTCCAGGGAGAGCACAGGAGCACCAGGCGACGCTCGGGCTGTTCCGTCGGGAGCCAGGGATTGCCGCAGCTCACTGAGCCGGGCAGGCAGATCCCGGCTGCTCGGTCCTACTCAGTTCTGCCCCCCATCAGTCCCCGTCCCCCGGTGAGGGGGACTGTGCCACCACTCCGCAGAGCCCCCGGCAGCCTCTGGCGATCCCTGGGCTATGCATCGGCTCCCGCAAGGCTTTCTGACCGGCCAGCGCGCCTGCCTCCACTGTAAGGGACCCCTGCAGAAGAGGCACACATCAGCTCCCAGGAGGATGCAGAAGACCTGGGACACAGAGACACCCCCACCATGTGACATCGGCCTACCCGTCCTGGGGGGAGGGTGTCTCTGCTTCTCCCAGCTTCCTCCCACCCGAACGAGACCCCATTGCTGCGGTGTGGCACCCTCCTCAACCCGCACGCTGCCTTTAATAGATATTTGTGACAAAGAGCCCGCCTCGGACCTTCTGTGCATGGGAGATTTGGGAGGTTGCTTTCAGGGAGCCTGGGACGGGGCTGCAGGCAGGAATACAAACCAAGGGGGCAGGAACAGCTGCCCCCACTCCCGCCTGCTGGCAGTCACCCCTGCCAGACAGAGGTGGCAGAGGTGATGCTGCTGCACCCCTGCAATGGGAACCAGGCCAGGCACAGAGCACTGACAGGGCTGGGGTAATCCCATTCTGTGTGTGTGCCAAGAAAAGAAGGAAGTGGGGGCTGAGCCTGGCAGCAGGTGTGGATTAATGGGATGACAGAGGGGAGTGGGGTGTCCACGGAGTCCTCTGGAGCACTAGGGCTCCTGGGGTTGCTTGGAAAAGGAAAAAGTGAACCTGGCCATCAGCCAGGGCAGTCTCCTGCATCAGTTTGGATCATGTACCCACAGGCTTGTTGGTGAGTAGCTTCTGAAAAAGCAAGAGCAAGTCTTGCTCTTTTGGCAGAGCAAGTCCTGAGGGGGACCATCTTCTGTTCCCATAGGAAATCCTTACGGGCATCATCCTTGTGCTTTCTCATCCCAGCCAGAACAGGCTGCAGACTCTGCCAGTCTTCACACGTTGTTCCACAAAAAGAAAGGGAGAAGAGCGGTTCAACGGTGTTTTGATATCTACCACTCAACTGGAAAATCCAGTGCTCAAAAAACATTTTTACATGACTTGTCAACTCATTCAGGTGCTGGGGGCCCAGAAGCAGGAATTGGAGCAAACAGAGAGGCTTGGCTGGAGTCAGGAAGGATCTTTCAAGACTGTCCTCAAGGGTGGCCATGAGGATGCATTTAGAGACCCCCCCCTGGTGTATCAGAAATGGAGTAGGAGTCTCTTGCAGGAAACAATGACAGCAGCATGGGAAGATTTTAGGCATGTGAGAGCAAGTGTCTCAAGGAGGGTAAAGGGATGAAGCTCCAGAACTTAAAATGACGTCAGCAGAAAGAAGGGTATTGAACAAAGAGCTGGAAGCAAGCTGTGAGAGAGGGAAAGAGACTGTGCTAATGGACTGGTTATRGAAAAGCTGAGTGATGATCATTTGGTGGATGGTTTTAAAGGGTATCAAGATAGTCAGAGAGACCTTGGTATTAGAGAGGAAGGCTCTGCTTTCCCAAGTGAGAGATCCTTCTGGGAAGCTGAATCAGTTGTGTGTCAGAAAATGTACTGGGAACAAGGAAATTTGCAGGTAGGAGTTCAAACAGATTATTGCTGTGACTCAGTCTCTTTAGATGGGTAGCACAAGCAAAAAATAAATCAAAGGGGAAAACCAGTGCAGAAAAGTTAAGCAGACAGAGAGCAGCAATGAAAAAAGGAAAGATGAACTCTGYGCATGTAGACAACCTAAGGCCAGAGGAGTTGTGTGCTAGAGCTGGCTCACAATCAGGCTGTCATCCAACCTTYGTCACACTTCGTGATTTGCCTTTGAATTTCAAACATCTGGGAAGCCTTCAAGGATTGTTCCAAACTGACACAAGTACCTCAGGCTGGCTGCTCTTGCTGCCTCAGAGTGCTTCACGTCCTGCTGGGTTCATGCACACCCATGCTACTGTTTCATCCATGCCCCCACCCAGGCAGCCCTCACGTATCTACCCAAAATGCAAACATGCACAGTGAGTCCCTTTGTGCAGTTACTTGTTCCCTGGAGTTTCCCCAGCTTGCCTGTACCGTGGCTGTTCAARGAGGAAGATGTGATCATGATTACCTCATGCTAAGCAAGCAGGACATCAAATCATCACATAACAGCTTCAGTAAAAGGCACAAAGTAACACACATATGACAAAAATTCCTCTCACCTCTGCCCTCAGATTAATTTTACAGGAGTCCTACATCCAGTGCATGTATTTTCCCCATTTATCATATATTTCACATTTATGACTGAAATACAAGAACATGCTTTTTCCTYCCCATTTTAAACACATTTACCATTCAGCTGGGTTGTTCTGGAAGGCAACTTGCAACACAAATGTTTTCAAATCCCAGTAATCTGTGCCCRTATGCTAATGCAAAACTGACAAAAATTCCACAAAGTGGAATTACTGGGCCRCTGTAACTACAGTGGAGATAATGAATACATTTACAGCTTAGGACCTTTGAATGGCTCCTGAATAACCCAGTTTATCAATTGTCTGAGACCGAATTCCAGGAAATTCAATTTAGCATTATTACTGCCACAGGTCTCTTGCCATAGCTCCATGGAACACCTCATTTATAATAATAAATCGGGGAAGAATTTTAGCAAGAGGAATTGTATTGACTTTAATAAGCTGCAGGAAGGAGGATTTCCTCATCCCTAAGTAASGGTTTCACTTCCTAACCCCAAAATGAACTTGACTGGGGCACGGCTAATTCATGGTATTAYAAGCCCTGAAGACCTCCTGGAAGAAGACAAGGAAGAAAAAAGTAAAATAAAGTAGTAATAAAATAAAGTCTTTGCTAAGTAATTTCTTATAGAAAGATGAGGTGAATAAATGCTCTGCTATTACCAGCAGTGCCTGTAAAACACAACAGCTCTTTTCCTGTGGCACAGGGATTGCAGGAATCAAACACTGTGGAGCTGCTACAGCTGCTACAGCCTGTGACATGCTGCTTACAGGAGAAACAGAGCCCAGGGACCCCCAAAGGCAGGAGAGCTGTAGAAACACAGAATACAGTCTATAAAAACAGGAATCTGTTAGTTTTGTGCAATGCAGCTCCTACCTGGTGAAAGATGCCAGAAGAAGCCTGGCACAACACAGGGAATTGCTGGTGAGCTGTGCAGCCATTACACAGGACCAACAGAAACATTCACATGAGCCAGAAGTAGCTTCAAATTGCCTATTAATTCTGGATGCCTGTCAGCAGCTGTTATCTGATTGGCCCCAGTGAGCTGGCATCTTCTACAGAGGAAAAGAAGAAATCAAATAATCAAATATCACCATTACTTAAAAAAAAAATCACTAGAGAATCATTTCATCATGACTTTCATCCCCTTGTGCCTTTTGGCCCCGCTTCACAATGCCAGATTCCTGCTGGCATCAATCCCTTCTCAGCTTGGTGGAGCTGCTTGCCCTGTTCTTCCCATCCCCTTTTTCCCCTGTCCCAGCCAAGGGGGTCACACTGATAAAGGTGCAGGGCCTCCCTCCCAGCTGGTTTGAACTGCCTGGGACTTGCCAARAGCTGGGGGTATCCCCTTCCAGCCTGAATATTTCAATGCTGTCTTCTTGTCACTGAATGACTCTGAAAGCTTTAAAGCTTCCTTGGGTGAACAGATTTTAATTTATGGGTAAACAAGGAATATCCACCTTCTGACAGTCAAACCTCTGTGTACTGACAGGCACCATCCRCATTTGAAATGCTGATTTGCGTCTTTTTGTAAATGAGTTTGCTGAGGCCAGGCTTGTGCAGTGTACTTTAATGTGGAAGGAAGCTTTACTGGAATATAAAACTATTTCAGTGAAAATTATTTTCAGAGATGTATGTTGTTCTGCTTACAGAAACCAATTTTAATGTGACCCTTCAGCAGTCACAGCAAGATCTGAAAAATGTTGAAATATGGTCCTTTTAAATAAAAATTTCATGGGGTATGTAATCAAAACTTTAAAACTGGTCATTTTCTGTCAGGCTCAAGATAGGGTTATAAATAAAAAAAAACAAAAACAAACCAACAAACCCAAAAAGAAAAACAAATTTCATCCTTAATATCTCTATTCTAACAGACTTTTGAGACYTACCATCAATAGTTTWCAGTAAAATTAATAACAGAAAACCTATGGGCTTTAGGCAGTTCTGTTTCCTTGACTCTATTTGCATGTTTATCCAGTCAGGGAAGACAAACAATTGCTCATGACAGGCCRGACCCATCACCATCAAATACCTCAGGCTGAATGTTTACAGGGAATGCTGTTTACAGGGAATGCTGGCAGCAATCTCAGGGGCTTGGGAGAGGTTGGATCACTCCAAATGATGACAGAGCCCTCAGCAGAAGAGTGGGTTTGGTGTAAATCCCCAGTGATGAGYTCTTTTTGCTTTGGTCCTGGTGCTATCTGGGGAGCCTTGGGGTACCATTACATATATGCTGGGAGAGAGGTAAAGCAAGATCCTTGCTAGACTCCTARATTTAAAATCCTGCCTGAATCTTGAAAAGAGTTTTCTGAGATGTCATAAACAGCATTCAAGCCCACATGCCTCCCAGTTAATTTATCTGACAYTCTGTACCTTGGGGCATGGCTCAGTACCATGTAAAACATGCCTGAGAGACTCCACAGCCCTGTCTTTAGTTTATCTTTGGCCAATGACATTTTCAGTCTGAAACTGGGCTGCAGTTCTTTTGTAAAGGAACTGTTGTAAAGAGAGGTCCTGAGTCCAGTTCTGGTACGGAGTTCCTGATCCTGCTTGGGAATCCTGTGTTAGAGGCACCAGAAAAAAAACAAAAAAAAAACCAAAAAAACCAAAAAACCCAAACTGTGTAGGTCAAGCTTTAGTACCACATCTCATCACCTGCCTTTCCTTCATGCTTTGAAGGGCTGCCCATTCCYTCCCTTCACCTCCCTTCCTCCGAATCAGGAGCACTGCAAAGGCCTCCTAAAAGCATGGAAGAAGGAAGGATGGCAGCCTGGCAAACACCATCGTGGCACAGCGATGCAAAAACATTCTTCTCCTTTCTTTAGTAGTAAAAAAAATGCCTTGTAATTCCAAAAGGCTTACGCTACAGCAGCTGAGACATCAATACTGTTTTGCAGGGTTCTCTGCCCAGGGCCCTGACAACATTCAGAAATTTGCC